CGAGTGTCAGGATACTCACTGTAGTGTGTGTGGTCTCGATACTCGTCTTTCAATACGAAGACGCTTGTATTCGACACACCTTTCATAACAAAACTTTGAGATAAGGAATTGGGTACTACCCGGAAGGGGTTACTATTCGAGGATCTATTTCACCCCTAAAAACAACTCCCACCAATCAAATGTGACATCTTGCCTCGCATGGCGAAAACTCTCTTTTCAAAAAGGATATGTTACGTCTGTTCTACTGCAAACAGGTAACGCCTAAGTCTCCAACGAGCGAGCAACAATACACCTAAACTGCTAGAATATGCTACGATAACATTATCCACAAAAACATCGGTTACCCGTTTCACGAACTATGTTTGCTCTGATTTCTCATACCATATGAGAATACGTACGCACAAGACTGCGATGTCTTGGTGAGCTCACTTTTTTCACCTTTCACCCGTAGTTATCCGAACTACGGCTGCTCTGATTTCTCATACCAGATGAGGATACGTGGGCACAAGACAGCGATGTATTGGCGAGCAAATTCCCCCTATACCCGCAGTTTCCCGAACTACGTCGACTCTGACTTTCTCATATCTGTTGAGAATACGTAGGCATAGGACCGCGAAGTCCTACCGAGTCTCTTCTATCCCTTGTTTCCATGTTTCTAACCTTCTCTCTCCTCTAGGAACACTCATAGAAAGCAATATATTTTAAGCAAATATTTTCACACATCGACAAACAAATGGTTCCCATCGAGTACGATGGATGCGATGGGTGCTAATACCTACCCTTCGCATAACCGGCTTCCAAACTCGTTCTTTGGTCGCGAGACCATCTTATCTGTTTTTTTCTTAAGGTTTTCTCGATGTTTTCCTTTCCCCTCATGGGATAAATAAAGTTCGATGGTGACTCTTCTGTCTTTCATTTTTGCCTCCCCGTCGTTGCACAATGCGATTTTTTCGAGTAGCGACAACAACTAGACATCTAACTTTCAGTGGAGACTCCACTGAGTTTGAATGGTGGAATATCAAGATGTACACATATATCATTGGTATTGATGATGAGTTCTGGGATATCCTTAAATATGGCATTGGAATTGTAGTCAATGGTGTTGGAATGATAACTAAAAGAAAAACTCTCACACCATCTCAAAACAAAATTGACAGGAAACATCATAAAGTTAGAGGCATTCTGGTGGATGTCCTAAATCATTTTTGAGTACATCAAAATCATTGATAAATCAATTATTCATACTATTTGTAAGTCTTTGTGTTTACTTATGAAGGAATCCAGCAAATAAAAGAGGTCAAGGCCAACCTTCTAGTACAACACTTTCTAATACAACACTATGAGATGTTCAGAGTGAAAGATGATGAAGATATTGAAACCATGTTTTCTAGGTTTTAAGTTTTTGTATCAGGCCTTCAGGTTTTGAACAAAAGTTATACCATATTGTAGCGGCAAAAATCGTGAGTATAAGTTATTGATTAACTTAACTCAAAATTGCAAGAGTCGCCACCGTGCTTTTATTTATTTCAAAAGAAAATAAAAAATAGTGACAAAACTTAAGCGACTTCTAAGGTAAGAACATATAAATAGAGACTGGGTAAGGGGTTGGTTATGCTAAGGAAATGTGTTAGCACCCAAAACGTCTATAGTACTCTATAGGAACCCTTTGAAATATCTACACTTTTTGGTTTGAAAAATTTTGTTTGAAATGAGATTGAGGAGATGAGAAGAGAAGTATTTTTTTAAGATTTTTGTATTTGAAGAGACTTGTCGCCTCATGCCCACGTATCCACAAAGTGCAATATAGGATCAAAGCTCCGTAGTTCATGATACAAATGGCAAAATAGGTTTGTTATTGATTTTAAGTGAAAAATAAGTCGTCATTTCCAAGCGAATAATTCCGCTTAAAGAGTTGACTCATGTCTAAACTTATGGAAAAGTTTTAAAAGAAAAAGTGCATAAGGCACAAAAGGTTTGAATGAGTTTGAATGTTTTTTTATGTCTTTTTGAAAAGAGTCAAAGTATGATTAACATTGATTGACATTTATTAAAGAAAATGAAGTTTGAAAAATCACTTGACAAAAGTCAAGGTTTTATTGTGAAAGAGGTTATAGTTTGAAAACAAGAAAGTTTTTGAAAAAAGATAGGAGATTTTGAAAATTAAAGAAAGGGGTGAAGAAGAAGGGACTATCCTAAAGCAAAAAAGATAAAAACTAAGGATAAGAACGGTCTAACCATACAAGTAAGCTCTACAATATAAGCATTATTCCTTTAGATTAGATCTTGATCAAAATAAGTCTTCAAAAGAGAACTTCAAGTATCCAAAATCCAAGGTTTGACATCACAAGCTTCCAAGCATAGGTTAAAATCCTAATTCTAGGTCCAAAAATCTATGTCCAATAAAAATGATAGTAACCATAGTCCACCATTAAGAGAACATATTTTTTAAGGGTTTAAGTCTTTATTAATTTTTTTGGTCCAAATGAACAAAGGAAAAATGACAGAAGTATAAACAATAATATGATATGAGATGATAATTATGGAGCATAAAAATAAAAGAGAGATATGGAGTAATAAAGAAGCATAAACAAAATTAGTATAATAATATTGTTAGTGAGTTAGTGATTAGTTGTTAGAACAAAATGATTAACGATGGTCAAATAATAAACTATGACCAAAGTTAATGAATACTCATTGGAGGATTGATAAAATCTAACAACAAGTTTCATAAGTAGTGGATCCAAGACAAATAATCAACCATACATGGACTTTCAAACATAAGTTTGAGCCACAAATGATCATTTTTCGATACGGGACACATGTAGCACTATGTTAAGCAATCGTAATCGGGCTTATGTAGAAGCCACGACTATCTGAGGCTGGTCAATAAAAATGTTTGTACTAATGTATGCTAGAGAGACGATATGTAGATCATCCTTCGAAAGCAATACCATACAAAGAGAAAATAGGTAACAATCTCATCTTCATCAAGAACTAAAATAAGTTCCAATGATATTGAAGATTTTCTTCGATCAAAAAAAAATGAGAGATAGATGAAGAAATGCCAAATTGAACCACACAAAGATGTAATCCAAGGCAAAGAACAAAAGAAAAGGGAAGGAAAAGAAAATGGAACCAAAACAATCCCAAAAACAAGAAAAAAACACATTATAGACACTGGTTAGTCGATTAACCATTTGCATGTGCAAATGTGTTAATCGATTAATACTGATAAGACAACAAAAAATTTTGAAAAAAAATTCAGCATTCATGATCCAACCATTTCTTTAAACACCTCATGATCATGAATGAGAATTAGCACGAAAATTCAAGTAAAACAACAACAAATAACACAAATAAAACACAATTTGTAAGATCCAAAGATCAAACAACAAGAATCAACAATAAATCACATTGTGGAAGATGGATCATGAACAACAATGGTGGAATGAGAGTTTACCACTTCAAATATGAAATTGCTTCAAATTAACTTCAAGAAACACACTCCAAAGTCTTGATCTACTGAAATTGATGATGAAAAAGTGATTGGATGAAGGTTTTAGCTCAAAGATTAGTAAGTTCTAATGAAAAACTTACTAACTTTCAAAGGAAGAAAGAGCTTTGGTCCAACGAAGGCTCAATCCATCAACGCACACAGGGAGCTCTCACGCATCTCCTCCATGGTCTCCACGTGCCCCCCACACGGGGACACGTCATCAGGCAACTACCCACCTTCCGAAGATCATAGGGCAGTTGACCCAGGGTGAAGACTATGTGTTGATCTTCCCTACGCCACGTAAGCTCTGGCAGTTACTCGTATTGAACCTTACAATCCAACCCAATACAAAGTAACAGTTGGCCAAGCGCTAGGGACACATTATAAATACCCTCTTTCACAAGAGGGTCGGATATTCAATTCTCTACACACTTTCTCTGTATTTGTTCTTTTTACTCTGTCTCTTACTTTAACATTGGAGTACCGATCAGGTACACCCCCTCCTCTTCTTCACCACCGACGAACTAAGGAACTCAAGACGTGGCTACTGAACTTTTTTTGATCCGGTACAATCAATTTATAATGCATCGTTTTCAATTTTACTCTCTAATTAATATTACTTTCATCATTTCTATTACATAATAAAGATACTTTAATAAAAATATCATTCTTTCTCTTTTAATTATTATTATTTTTTAATATATGTGAAATAGTCAATCAAATCACTCATTGTAAAACGAAAAGAATTGATATATGTGCTACTTATATATATTATTTGTTCTTATATTCGGAAATACAATATTAAAGCATTTTTTCTAAATATATATTGTTCAATTAGTTTTTCCTAAATATATATTGTCCAATTAAATTGATAATTCTTTTAAAAAAAAGGTGTATCATGCGATGCACCGCACCGGAGTTGAAGGTGAATGTACATACACTTACTTTCAAAGCTTTATTTCCGGAGTTAAAGGTGAATGTACACACACTTACTTTCAAAGCTTTATTATATTATCCACTACAATTGGTAAAATAAAGCTAAGAAATAGATAATTTTTAATGTACTATACACACCCCCGAGTTTCAGAAATACATTTTCAAAAATATTTTAAAAATGCATTTTCGAAATAAATTTAATCATAAAATTGAAGTGTAATTCAAAAACGAATGAATTGTGTGCGCACAAAATGTGTTCGAAGATGTATCTCCGAAATATAAAGGACATTTTGAATTTTTTATAGTGTTTTAGAGTGGGATAAAAAATTCTCTAAAACTTTGCATAAGATAAACTAAGGATCATAGACTACATTTCCATGCAGGCACACTAGAAGCAACATCGTCCTTTGATTTTCAAGATCATAGATTTTATGTCAAGAGTATCAATGATGACAACGATACAAGCAACACCAGACACAGGACTTTATGATAACACCGTCTGTTTATTTGATGCAGTTTCATACAATTCAGTAATGCATTCAATGAAAATGAAGCTTTCCTTTGAAAATTAGACAGACAACTCCCTCGCCTCTGCTCCTAATGGTTTAAAGACAGCTTCAACCTCACTCGGATCAACTTCCTCCAACCTCGATGGTTTCCACTGCGGGTTCTGCGGTGAATATTTGTTCAATTTATTATTCAAGCAAGAAACATTGTATACAAGATTGAAGGAAAAGTATTACACCACAAAAAAAATTAAAGGAAAAATAACTATGGTCTATGGGTTAAAGAATCTATATAAAGTATTCACAGAGCCAGCAGTGGAGCTCCCCAATATTTTCATACAAAGGTGTAAAAATCATGAAATTAAAGAGAGAACCTGATCTTTATCGATCAATACTGCTCGAACACCTTCTGCAAAATCATGTCGTAGTGAAGACCTCAAGGCAATGCGATACTCAGTTTTCATTACGCCAGTAAGCTGGAATTTCCCAAGTACAGATAAAATACTCAATGAATTCATATTTTAAGTCACAGAAATTACAGCCACCCCCCAGAAAAAGAAAAGAAAAAGAAAGTGCTCACCGTCGATAATTCACCGTTGCCTTTTCCTACTGCAGAGGCAACTGCAGAGAAGTACTTATTGGTCAAGAAAAGAGAGAAGGGAGCTCCTTTTTCGAGGCCTTGGAGAGCTTCATTAGCCCACTCAGAAACTAGAAATGGGAAAAAGTAGAATATTAAGCACTTGACAAGCATTTAACTGTAATTATAAACGTTATGGTTTAACATGCACAACAATGACGGTAACCAATCCAAACATTTCTGTGTAACCAAATAATCTGATGATAAACATACCGTTGGAGTCGGCGCTTGACTGGTGTTGTTTTAGATCCTTAATAGTCTCAGAAACAGATTTATTTCCTCCAAATGAAGAAACTATCTGAGGTAAAAGCAACTTCAAGTGTGCCTCAGAATCTGGGTTTGACTCGTGTCTTGCTAAAAGTACTTTGATGTCCTGATGGGGATCCTGAGAACTATATAACCAACGAGTTTTGGGTAAGTTTTCATTGCAATTTTAATGACTGGTATGTATGCATTCTTTGTAATTATATTCTTCTGAACAAAGTACAATGATGTAAACTATTTCTAGAAAATAAATAAATAAATAAATAAAGAGAAGAAAAAGACCATGATGCATACTAAATGGCTTTTCTTAAACGCACACAATCAGACCAGTGCATTATTAAAATTTCAAAATGGTCCAAAACTGATGAAGTTTAAATGGGTGATAATCTAAAGAAAAAGGCTCAACAGCCACTCAAAGGCTCGTGCTGACATACAAGTGTGTTGCCAAAAGGGCCTCCTTGAATGAACCTAACTTTCCAGATGGCACGTAATGTGTTCCAAGGCCAACATATATTGCATCAGATGGAGTAGAAATCCTCTTTCCGGTCAATCCAAGATAAGCACCTGTAGTCAGTAAAAACACTTGGTGTGTATTCAGAGATTCCACAGAAAGCAAGGGAGAAGTACTATTAAAAAAATGATAAAATGTAATAAGCTGTTAATGAAAACCGGAGATCCCGTTTAGATGTTTCGAGAGTGTAATGCGCAGTTTGTATTCCTAAGGAAAATTATGAAAATAGTGCACAAAAAGGACAAATAGAAAGGTCAGCAATTCAATAACCCTCTGTCCTCATTAGCTGGTCTAATAAACAAGAACTAAAAATGCTAAATCATATATATAACAAATTACCAACAGCTCCTTCTCCTGGACTTTGAGCTGCTATGTGAGAAAACCCTACGTCTGGGAACAAGCCAATTCCATTTTCTGGCATGGCAAGAACGGTTCTCTGGAAATGTGTTGCGAAAAAGATAAAATTCACAAACAAGATCTAGAACAGAAATTATTATGAAAATGCAAAATATATAACTAAATGAAGCAACTATATTACAAGATGAGCATACCTCTGTAACGATACGATAGCGCCCATGACCAGATAAGCCAATTCCAAAACCCATTGTTATTCCATCCATGAAACTAATATATGGTTTCGTGTACTCAGAAATTTTGCATATCAAAGAATACTCAGCTGTGAAGACCTAAAACATGCAGCATAAAAGCTATATTATTTTTACGCTACACATTAAAAACTTGAATGCAAGATGCAGCAAAACGTATAATCCCACAAAGTGCTGGCAAAATTGGCAACAAACAAACTGTAAATTACCAACAATATAAACTGTCCAAATCAACAAAATTAAAAGTGATTCTATATCTAATAGGCCATCAAGAATCTATCAGAGGTACACAGTAAAACATCCAAACAAAATTCAATGCCCCTGGAAGACAGGAAGGATGTGATTAAAGGGTAATTCTGTAATAATAGAAGCTGATGATGTCTTTCAACAGATAAGGCATTATAAGAACCTTCTAACCTGGGTCAAACCAAAACCCGGGCCAGGATTAGTCCCACACCTTTGGATGTGGAGATAACTTTTGGTATACTAATAAGAATTGTAGAGATGGTCTCTTCAATCACAAAAGAAAGAGTTACATGCTAATATTTTATGTTTGATCTACTTGAACGTGAAACTTCCTCAATAACTGTTTATTACCAATTATTTTAAAACATAGAAAACTTTAAGTTTTTAAAAGCCATCGGTGCAGACAATGGCGCTAAGCTTGTCATGAATAGTATGGTCTACCAAATTAATGTGTGACTATACTTGTCTGAAGTATACTTGAAGTAAATACATAATCAGGAATTGATTTTGAATTGGCATTATTTTAATAAATGAAATTTTAAGAATCTGATGGCATATTATTGCAAAGGACGCAACTAAACCTCAATCATATCTGATAGGTGGTTTTTGATTGATATCTGCTTCACATCACCGCCTGCAGATAAACTAAGACCTCGATTACCAAGCAAGCGGTCATTGAGAATAGACAAAATTATTTGACAAAATAGAAATTATAGGAAAAGTTGTATAGCATCAAAAAATGATGATGATGATGATGATATGACGACAAAGAAGCAAACTATATCCAATGAAGCACATAGCAAATGCAACTGGATATGCATGTATCAACAAATAATATATATTGAAACCTTCTGCACTAAAGGTGTGCTTTTGTCCTTCTGTATTTCAGCAACAACCCCTTTAATATCCATACCTGCATTGACCATTAATTACGACTCTCAAAACCTTACCTAGCACTGAAAACCAAAATAACCTTATATATCTATAGCAGAACATATGCAAAAGAGACTAATATTTTTAATGTATTTGAGCAAGAAACATACTTCAATAAAACTTTGCACCAATGAAGCAAAGATACTCTAAAATTTGTGCCATACATATCCGATACGTACCGATACGCCGCTGATAAGTACCAAAGGAGTATCCGAATTTTTTATTTAAAAAATAAAAATAAAAATTTCCAATACATCCCGATAGTAATACAACGGCGACACGTCGGGATACGCTAGCGACACCTCTCCGTTACGCTGTGGATATGGCTAGCTAATCTCATAATTATTCATATTTCTAGAACATGAATCAATCTTCCTCGTCCTTTATGTTTCTTTTCTCAACTTTAACTACCTCATCCCTTTCATTTTTCTATTACAAAAATCAAACTTTTCCTTCAATTACTTTTCTCTAAACTTTAACTATCTTTTCTTTTTCTCATAATTCCTTTACCGATTACTATCAAATTTTGCAAACTCAATTGGTTTTTGTTAGAGAATGATTTAACTAATGTTTAATTTTTAATTTTTTATATATGTATCTTAAATGTATCGTATCCTAAATTTTTCAATGAGTGATGTATCTCTATATCGGATACGTATCGTATCCGATACCAGTATCGTGTCCGTGCTTCATTACATTACACTAAAAGAATAATAACTGAGCATTTTTTTTCTCGAATATGCCTCATTCATTCATACCGGCACAAAACGCGCGAGAGGAGCTGCTATCAATCAGAACACATTTGACTTTCGGGTCTGATTCCCATTCATCAAGAAAACTTTTATACTTTACATCCATATCTGCATCACAAAAAATTCAAAATTAAAATCAAGCTATAACCACATTCACACACAATGAAATCTCTTCGTTTTTGAATCCTTCATAATAATTAACTCAAAATTATAAGAATTATCATTCATTTGAATATGAATAAAATCAAAATAACCTAAATTTTGCATTTTAAGTCCTTATTACAATAATCACAAATAGTAATTTTCATGTAAGCCAAAAGCTCCATGATGATTGCTTGTTCGTAATAATAATATGCGTGAGTTCAACTAAAAAGTTGAGAAAAAAATTCACAATTTAACAGCATACAACTTTATTATGAGAAAAATCTGATAAATTGAATGAATGCACAAAAATTCAAAAACCTAGGTTCATGGCGTTAAGAGCTTTGGGGCGATCGAGGGTAAGAACGGCGACGCCGTTAGAATTAACGGTGCCTTTGACGAATTCTTCAGCCATAGATGAAATTGGTCGGAAAGAAAAGGAAGATTTGGAGCGAGAATATGAAAATGAACAGAGAAAACGATTAGCTCCGACAGTGCGAAGTAGCATTCTTTTCTCAGACTATGATGGGGTTGCTCTTTCTTTTGTTTGTTGACATGATTTATGGTGTTTTGACGGTTTAACCCCTCATTTTTTGGATTCAAGATCTGTTGAACATCAACATCAAATACTTATTTGTAATAACAAATCTGTCACAATCTCACATTTGTTGTTTGTAACCTGTTACTTGTTAGTGTGAAAATAGCATGCTTAATAACTTTGTTTTCTTTAATTGTAATTATAAGATATCTTTGTTGAGTAACTATATTGATCCTAATACAACTTAAATAATCCTCAATTTTTTAATATGCATAGTTTTTTTTAGCACATGTGAGTCTAAACTTGACATTGTTGTAAAATATAAATTCATTTCTTTCTTTTGTCTCATCATCAAAAATTATGTGCTCGCGTATAGAAGTGACAAAATAGATGGATTAAATGGATATGGATTGGATTGATAAAGAATGAATTAAAACAACTTATTAGTCCATTAACTATCCACTAAATTTTTTTTTAAAATTATCCAATTCAATCCATCAATTAAGAATAAAATTCATCAAATCCATCCATTAACATATTTTTAATGGAGGGATATCCATCCATCCAACATTTTTTTTATTTTGAAAAAATAAACATATTTTTTTATTTTTAAAAATCGATTTTATTTTATTTTTAAAAAATTTATTTTTTGTATTTTAAAAAAATTGTTTTTTAATATATTCATGACAAAAATTGAATTTTTTTGTATTTTCAAGAAAAAAATTAATATTTTAATATTTGAAAAATATGAAGTTTTTTTATGAAAAAAAATCGGTTTTTTGTTTTGAAAAAAATCGTTTTTTTCAAAAAAAAAATTCGAAAAACAACTCAGTTTTTTATATTGGAAAAAAATCGAGTTTTTTAGAAAAAAAAAACAAATTCTTTTTTAGAAAAAAAAATCAGTTTTATTTTTAGAAAAATTCTGATTTTTTTGTTGAAAAAAAATAAATTCTTTTCTTTTAAAAAATATTTTTTTAATTATATTTTTTTAAAATAAATCTAATAAAAATAAAAATAATTCATTGGATCTTTAAAATATGTTGGATGGATTGAATCCATCCATGTATATAAATGGATGTATTTAATCCAATCCATTAACTTATTTTTTATGTGGTGGGTGGATTGAATTGATTTTTTGATGGATGGATTGAATGAATTTTATTTTAATGGATCAAATTGTCATCTCTACTCGCAGGTATTAGGTTAAGTTTCCTATGTTTTATAAATCAAATATTCTTGGTTGTTCTAGATTTCGTTTGAGGTTCATAAACTTGCTTCAACTAATTGATCTTGCCCCTCAAAGGTGTGCAATTTCCTTTAAATAATGATTCACATGTATAGCCTTTATCATCTTCAACTGAAGTCACGAGTGATTATCATTCTTCCAATTAACCTTCAATTTCATTGCTAATAGCTCTTAATGGTGAATCCATGGTCTTTTATTAATTGCACTAAGGGACAAAACTTTGTTCCTAATTATGAATTTCTAAGAACTCAAAAGAGCGTTAGCTATGATGTGTGAATGTTAATTACTAAAATATGAAATGTATAAAAATAAAGCTATGATGTGTGAATGTTAATTACTAAAATATGAAATGTATAAAAAAAAACTAGTAAAGTAAATGAGATAAAAGCATAAAATAACTTGATTGATTGATTATATGTGTTTAATGACTTACAAGTTATGGTATTTATATAGAAAACTGTCCTAGTAGTCATTGGTGGTGTATCGAAAGTAAATATTTTATATATTGTATCCATAAGGATTGGCGTGGTAAACAATTGTTATAATTTTAAGTGAAAAAGGCTTTTAGGTTGATTTTAGAATAACTATAGAAATCTTAAAAGCAATAAAATAAATATGAGATAAATAATAATGAGTGTAGTTATATGTATTGTGTAGCTAATGTCTTCTAATGATTTTCATGATGACAATGAACAAGAAAGAAAATATCTAAAGGTTCCTCAATAAAGAAACAAACACAAGATAAAGTTCAAGTTTTAGATAAAATTTAATCAAGCAAAAGATCTTGGAGTTGTGAGGATATGAACTTGAAGTTGTGAAGTTGTGAAACCTTAACTAATCTTGCGTTTTGCGTTTTATCTAGTTTTTAATCAGTTATTTGTAAATAAAACAAGAGTATGTCTTGAGGTACTGAGGTAATGCACACATACTAAAAGTATTTTAAACCTCTCATATTTTTTATAAAACTTCTTAAAATCAATACGGGCAAATGCTTAAACGATTAAGAAGTTTGTTTGTTCAATTATAAAGGCAAAACACATTGATAATAAATTAGGCCTTACTTCTAATTAATTCAAACAAAGTGAAATGTGTAATAATCAATTAAAAAGGCTTTTAATAGTGATGTCGAAACTCAAAATTTCTTTTTTGGAAAAGCTAATTGATTAAGGCATGAATTTAATCAATTAAAATGATAAAAAAATTTCCATTTATATTAAAAAAGAAGACACACCCCTTAGGTCATCCATGGAAAAACAATAGGAAAAAAGAATGGTAAAGAAAAAATGATACTTGAAGGAAAAAGGTTGAGCAAAGTAAAATGTTTGAGTAAGGAAATTTGACAATGCAAAAGATCGAGCAAGTAGAGAAGTAACTAGAACCAATAATCGTGAATTAGTAATGCAAAAGAAAAGTGCAAGAATGACAGAAAGAAGAAGAAAACTGAAAAACTCCAAAGAAACCCAAATGAGAGTTTATATAAAGAGATGGAAAATGTTACAAAATCGTGGAATGATGTCAGAATAATGATCCAACAGCCTAAAATTCCTCCTCGAGGAAACAAATGCACATAAGTGCACTCGAATTGTCTAGACATATGTGTCACTCCCTAGCCTAATCACCTATAGCCACGTGTAAGGTAGTCAAAAAAAATTTCAATTATTAGACGAGCATTTAATAAATATGTTCCTGGAACCTCTTCACCACCCCACACGAGAATAAATGCACAGAATCGCCTAGCCAAATTTTGAAGGCTTCCAATGCCTCTTGACATATCAAGTTTGGGGGTAACTAATTCGAACCGGGCCAAAGGCCTAGGAAAGGGTTATAAAAGCCCAATATTAATCACCATATTGTAGTTGCATGTCTGTAATTAACTCAGTGGAGTATATATATCATGTTTTTTTTTGTTTGTCTTTTCGCTTTCATCTTTGATTTAATTTTGATTTGTTAAGTCTCCTTCATGATTCCACTTCTCAAAATCAAGTTTTAAAAGATTTGTTTTTAGGATGCATAAAATTTTGGTTAGATTTTATATTGATCATGATGTTCTTTGATGAATTGCATGTGTAAGTTGAATGAAAATGTTTTATGTTTTTGGTTTAAGTTTGGTTCAAAAGTAAATTCTCAAAGTGCCTTTAAAATTTTGAAAAATTGAGATTTTACATGTTTGATTCGAATCATTGAGTTTGCACACAATTTTTTATCATGATCAAATTGGACAGAAACAAAAAATAGGTAATTTGATTCGAATTAATTATTGGACTTGATCCTAATCATTTTCGTGATGACGAATTCTATTTGATTTGATTCTGATCAAACTTTATACAAGATTCGAATCATTCACTTTTTCAATAATTTTTTATCAAGTATGTGGCATTTGATTTAAATCAATTTTTGTACATTATTCGAATCAATTCTTGTACATGATTCGAATCACGTGGCTCATGATTTGAATCACATTTTCCCTGATTTGAATCAACTAACAGATTTTCAAAATCTGTTATTCTTTTATTCCACTACACTTGCTCATTTGATTCAAATCATAGATTGTTCTTAATTCGAATCTAATTGACTTTTTCAACCATTTTGTGTACTTAATCTCAAGCACATATAAAATCTTTGTGTCATCATTTCTCACAAAAACATCTACCATTCTGATCATAATTTTTCAATGTGATTTTAGTGAAAAATCAATTTCCCCTGTTTTGAGTGTTCAAAGTTTTGCAACAAAACTCTTGCATCTTCAACTTCTTTTGGTTCAGTTATTCATAGCGAGAGTTATGTATTGATTAAAGGAGGTGCATCCTTGAAACTAACAGTTCTTGGAGATCTTGTTGAGTTTTTCAAGTTGTTAGCAAGATTGTGATGATTGCCAATGGTGGTGAAAATTACATTGAAAAGAAGTAGGTTCTTCTCTCCAAAATTTCCTTAGTAGTGACTGTGTGGAAGGCTACGGATAAGGCGGGGTTCTTCTCAAATATTTGGAAAATTTCACCGTTCAAAGAATCGATAAGATTACGGGGTTTATTGCTACACATGAAGGCTTAGAGCATAATTGGTGATATTGGAAGGTTCAAGAAAAGTAATTCGAGTAAAGATTACGTAGAAAAAATTGACAAGTGTGTTGTATATAAGTCAAGTCCAAATATGAGATTTATCATCTCAATTGTAGTGTGGATTGGTGATTACATGAACTCTTAAAAATACTTGTCAGAGAACAAATAACTATATAGATCCCAATTGGAAACAATTGAATAGTGCATGTAGGCAAAGCGAGGGCGAACGCCAAAACACTACAAATCTCAGTGTAATTTCTCTATCTCTTACTCTTGCATTTAATTTCATAGTATTTACATGCTTAGGTTTTTCAATTCTATTGTATTATATCGTTTGTTCGTTGATAGTGAATTATTACGAAAGCATTAGGTATTTGTTGGAATTGGGTAACTGGTTAAGGTTGTTTTGTGATTAATAATATGAAACGAATGAATTTAGAACTTCATCAATTGAATTGTTATGTAAACACTTCTTGTGCATTATGCAATTGAATCAATCTATACCAAGCGCTTCATCATATTAATTTTAATCTTTGATATTTGTGAAACGGTCTGTGTTGACTTGATTGATATTCAAACCTTCTGCTTGCAACTCATTTTTTAAAATACTATGATTTTGGAAAGCGACAGTTGAATTTTTATTTTGGATCTATTCTCCCCTGTCTAGA